GGATCGCCCTAGTACTGTTTTTATCTCTAATGACAGGAGGGTGACCCCAAAATCTTTGCGGCTCACGTGTGTTCTCACGGGCCCCTGCCAGCTCTCGCAGCTTCCGGTTCCGGGCACCCTTCCTGGGCGGAAATCAAGATGGCAGGTCGCACCTCCCATGAACTGCGGGAAAAGGACTGGGAGCATCGTGGCTGGAAAGGGGCCCTTCGCTGGACCAGAGAGAAAGCAGCGAGGGGCATGTGACTCTGAAGTAGGCTGGAGACCTCAGTTCCACGCTCCAACTTCCTTTGAAGCTCTGAGCCAGCGCAGACCGGCCGGCGGTCGTTGGGGGGCCGGTGAGCAGGGTGAACTCGGAGGACCCACGGGGTGGACGCTGGGGCGGCCCATCCGTCTCCTCGGAAAACCCCGCTGCGCTCGCTCCCTCCAGGGGCTGGCATTTTCCGTGCCCTGCAGGACGGGCTGAAGGGGCGGTGGGCTCAGACTAGCTTCCCTTGATCTGAGGTAGACGTCACCATTTTAAAGCATGTGCTTGGTGGCACGTAGCACGGTCACGATATCGTGCTGCCCTCAGTACGATCCAGTTCCAGAACATTCCCATGGCCCCAAAAGGAGACCGAGCACGTGTTGGGCTGCCGCTCCCGTTCCTCCCTGCCCCCCCGTTCCTCCCTGCCCCCAGCCCCGCAGCCTGTCTCCGTGGAGGTGCCTGTCCTGGACACTTCACGCCCGTGGGACCTCCCTGCCCCCCCGTTCCTCCCTGCCCCCCCGTCCCTCCCTGCCCCCAGCCCCGCAGCCACCAGCGCGGGCCTGTCTCCATGGAGGTGCCTGTCCTGGACACTTCACGCCCGTGGAATCACACGCGACGTGGCCCTTTACACCGGCTTCTTTCACCGACTGTCACGTTTTCACACCCACACCGCAGCTTGAGAAACGTGAAGTGGCTGCGCAGAATGTTTCCGGGTGGCAGCCTGGGCGGGGACATGCCAGCACCGCTTCCCACGTCCTCGGCAAGTCCCAGAGCCTGGGGCAGGGTGGCTTTAACGAAATGGCAGAGAGGCGTCTACCTCTCCACCCCCCATTGTGTCTTTTTAAAAAAGTGACAACATCGGGGGTTAGGAAGAGCTTCTGAATTGTGGATTTTAGCCAGGGGCGTCTCATTTTCACGTCACAGTCACTGACCCAGGGGTCGGGGTTTCAATAAGGAAAAATATCGATGAGGAAACAAGAAAACAGGTCGGGCCGCTAAGGCCTCCGGCCCCTTCTCCACCTGGAACCTCCCGCGACCCAGAAGGTGCAGCTTCTGCGTCCCCTGCCCGGTGGAAAATCGAGACGAATGACCTGCTCCGTTTCCATGGAGACGTCTGTGATGCCACACGGAGCTCCCAGGATCCCACGGGACCTGGCACTTTGGAGGCCGGTCTGCGCCGTCTGTGCCGCTGCTGCGTCCAGGCTGCCCTCCCCCGACGCCCTGTTCCAGAGGTCACCTAGTCGCCACTGGGTTGGTCCTCGGTCCCTTGTCCCCAGCTCCCGATGCTGTGTCTGGAGACCAGCCGGCCACGAAAGCCCAGCGCGAGTCCCCCGGCCAGCCTGATGGAGAGGGGCCTGCGGGCCCTGCGGGCGGTGGCCGACCGGGACCGCCACGCCCTCGAGTGCAGACTCGGCGGGAAACAGAGCGTGCTCAGCGAGTCGGCTCACGCCGCGGGCTGGTTCTACCGGCGGCTGGTACGGGCGTGCAGGGGCCTGGGAGGTGACCCGCTTCTCCAGCTGGAGGAAGGCCTCGGGGTGGCCAGCCCAGGGAGCCCCAAATTAGTCTTGGTGACATCGCAATAGGTAGATTCCCGAGGGAGCAAGGAGCAGTGGGAGGATCGTCTGCCCGAGCCTGCCGTGGGGGCAGCTTGACAAGGAGCAAAGCGGGGGGCAGCTGCGGGGGGCGCGGTTAGGCGGGGGGCTCGGCTGGAGAGGCTCGTGGTCTGTCCTATGCGGAGGGAGCCCGGAGGGTCCCATCCCCACAGGCTCCCCGAATGGACGGCGTGTGCAGCTGCTGGAGCAGGGGCCCCGCGCCTGTCCTCGGCAAGCTCGCGGCCGGCAGGGAGGGGACGGACCCCGCCGTCGGCACACGTGCCAGGGCCCTCTCCACCCAGCTGTCCTTTCCCCACTCCAGCAGAGTGACTTGAAGCAGGACTCCAGCCCCGAGGACACGAGCTTCATGCTGGAGGTGGAGTCGCTGCGGAAGATGTTTCTCCAGCGACCCGACTGCCCCCAGTTTTGCACGCGAGCCACGTCCATGTCCCATTACGGTGAGGCCTGCCGCCCCTGCGGGAAAACAGCCTCCGTCCCAGGCCGGACCCTCCTGGCAGCATCGGCCTACGGGGCGGCCCCTGCTGCTTCTGGACCTCTGTGACTGTCCCCGTGCGTGGGGCCGGGGGAGCGGGGGACAGAGGAAAGGGCCACCTGCCGCTTTGACTGTTAGTATTCCTCGCCCAGCCTCCTGCTTTTCTACGTCCACGCACCGGAGATTCCGTAGGGCTGGGGATGAGGGAGAGGGAGAAGGTAGAAGATTCTGGAAGCTTCTGGCAAGAAGTCCACGTGGCCAAAAATGGCTCTTTAGGCACCGACATTGTAAGGAGCCTTAGCAACTGTGTCATGGACCCTCAAACATGAAGCTCAGAGACGGCAGTGAAGGCATCGGTCAGGCCAGGGGTCACCCCAGACCCCGGCTTCCAGACCTGGGCTGGTCCCATTTCCCCACACATGGTGCTGTCCTGAGCAGTGGTGCTGATGATGCCATGACCTGTGGCCAGCAATCCCGTCCGTGGGTCTCAGCCAGGATCCCACCCACTGTCCAGGCTCTGGACTGTCTCATCTCAGGGCCAAGGCCTTGGGGAGCGGCCAGCACCCCAGGACCCAGGTCTCTGGGAAGGGCTGAGGGACCACGCGGCGTCCGGGGTGCAGGGTCTGTGCCCCCATAATGCTCAGAGGGCCCCACCATCGGTGTGGCTTACGACAGCTTAGACAGTGACCCTTTGAGGAGGAGCCTTTTTTACAGAAGGGAACGCGGGGTCCACCCCCAGCCCCGGGGAGGGGACCCATCTGTTTGTGGAGATTAAGCTCGCCTGGTCAATTTCTAGTGGACGCCCCAGCAGCGGGCAGGAGTCCCATGGGGAAAGGTCACCTTTCATCTTACTCGGCTTTTTAAAAAAACGGAATGAAAACGCCTCCCTCGGAGGGCCGGGAAGACGGGCCTCAGTAGTCGCGAGCCGGCATCCTTCACCTCCCGCAGGTTCGGCCACGGCAGTCACTTCGCCCCAGGAGGTGTGCGTTGGCTCTGAGGCCTGGAAGGTGACCGAGGACTCACCCTCCAGCCGGAACGGCTCAGACACGCAGGTGGACGGTGAGCGCAGGCCATGCTGGGCACAGGGGTTCTCTCCCTGGCCCCCAAGCCCTGAGCGTCTGTGCCTGCACGTGCCCAGACCCCCACTCTCCCTAGGGCTCCTGCTCCATGGAACGCCCCTCCCCGGCCCGCCCGCCTGGCCCCACGTCCCTCACATGGGGAGGGGGGCCCTGAGGTGCGTCCCCCTGGAGTGGAGAGACCGACATGCACTGTCCTGACAAATGCATTCACTTTCACTTATCCAGAGAGGAAGCCACACCCAGGTGTCCCCTTTGCCTGAATATGAGGACACCCTTGGAAGGTGTCCGGGGCCACGCGTGCACGGGGCTGACCCCATCGTCCTGACTCCCAGGCTCTGGGCATCCCGCAGGGTGCTTGACGCCTCCCTCCATCTCTCCAGCACACACGGGGCGGGGCGGGCGGCAGCGGCCGGACCGGGAGATGCAGAGGAGCCAGCTGGGCAGCGAAGGGTCCCTGACGCTTCTGGGGTGGACGTTAGCACGGAAGCCACCACCCAGAGCCCAGGGAGAGTCTGACCGCCCACGCTTTCCCACAGGGCACCTCCTCCCCTTCAGCAAGAGCGCCTGCGAGTTCCATTACTTGCGGAAGAAGAGTGAGTCCCAGACGTGGAGCCCGGTCATCGGCAGCCCAGTCCTGGCGCAGAGCCACATGAAAAAGCGGATACCATGGTACATCTCCGTCATCCATGAGAAGGTACCGCTGAGCGCCGCCCCGGGGCCCGGCCCGCGTCCAGGTGCAGCGGATGCGCCGTCTGCCCTATGGGCTCTGGTTCTAGAATCTGGTGGCGGGAATCCGGTCAGGTCCCCAGACATGGGCCGAGCTGACCTCCAGGCCCCTCCTGTGGCATCTGCGAAGTGGACGCTTTGCCAAGCTTCTGGCCCCGTCCATCGTCATCCAGAAGGTGGCGCTTTAAGCCGCCGTGGACCTCACCGACTCATGTGCCGCCGGCCAGCGTGTATCATGACCTTCGGCCATCTGTCCGCCTTCTGCCCCAGGCGTTCCGCTTGGGAGAATGTCTTCTTAAAAGTAGCACCAAGCAGCTTGTCATGCAAAGGCCCACCTACGAGTCGACATTTCTTTCACCTGTGTGTACGAGGGAGCCTGACCCACAGTTCGCCTGTCTTGTCATTCCCTTGTGAGATTTTGGCGTCAGAGTTATTTGGCCTCATAACCAAAAGACAGTCGGGACGAGCTCCCCCTTTTTCTGTTCAGTTTGCGGAAGATCAGTGATTTGTTTGTTAAATTCTGAAGAATTCATCATTGAGGCCGTCCGTGCCCGGAGGTTTTTTACACGGTTGGTTTTTAAAACAACACATTCGATTCCTTTTAAGGTATTCAGTCCCCGCCCCCGCCCGCCGCCTTTGGTTTTGGTAAGCGAGGTTTTTCTGTGCGTAGTTTCCTGTTATCATCCAGCCGCAGCCGCCGGAGAGCCTGCAGGACGCGGCTTCCTTCATTGTGGACACCGCCAGGCTTCTCTCTCTGTCGGGCTTTTCTCAGACTTGGCTTCCGTTTTGTTTTTGAGGCTGGCGAAGCTTTAATGACGATTATGGAAATGAATAACACAAAACGTTGGGCGGTTGGTGGGTACACAGCGGGGGCCGACCTTTTACGTTTATTTCCGAAACGTGACCTCTGCGTTTTGTGATGGATCTCACAATGTAAAAAGTGTTGATGTCCTTTGCCCAAGCAATTCCACTTCGGGGGAAATCGCCCAAGGACGCCATTAGACAGTCGCGTGGAGGTGTGTAAAAGGATGAATTTAAACAGCGGGGACGGAATTCTCAGCTGCCGTACGTGAACCGGCCGGGACGAGGGGCGGCCGCAGGCTCGGCTGCCTCCAGGAGCTCAAGCGCTGGCCTCAGGGTTTTCTCTCTGCCTCGTCCGAGCGGTCGTGGGCAAGAGGATCTCCCCTGGAGGCGGGACAGCCACGGGCCGCAGCACCGCGTGCGCCGTGCGAACTCGGCGGCCCCAGCTGGAACCAGCGCCTCCTTCCCACTGATCGCTGTCTTGTTCGGGACACTTACACGTGTCTAAATCACTGTGGCCAAACTAAAGACATGGTTCCTGCATGATTATTCTTCCCTTTAACCTGACAGCACAGATAAGTCCCACGTACCCTGCAGACACCCCGAGTGTGACGATGCCGCCGTCTTCACTGGACCGTCCTCTCCCCGTCCCCCCCACTCTGTGTTATTACCTCCTTTCCGCATTCTTTCAGTTTAATTTGTAGTTCTTTTCCGGAATTCAAGAGACGGATACTTAGATCATTGCTTTTCCATTGTTTCCCACGGTAGACGCCTTTTTAAGGCTATAAATTGTTCCTTAATCACTGCTTTAGCTGCACGTAATATCGCTATGTCCAAATGTTCACTATTGTTCAGTTTAAAACGTTTTCTAACTTCCTTTGTGATTACTTCTCTGACTCATGGGCCATGTGGAAGCCTCTGTCACTTAATTCCCAAACATTCGAGGACTTTCTAGTTACTTTTCCTTCCAGATTTCTGTCTGGACCACCTCCCTTTAGTATTTCTCTAAGTTCAGATCTGCTGAGGACAAATACTTCCAGTTTGTCTTTGCCCGAAAGGAAACAAAAAATCCTCTGTGATGTGTCTCCCATTTTGAAGAACTAAGGGCCTGGTGATTTAGAGAATGGGAGGCAGGGGACCCGGGGGGGATCTCGGGGGAGTTGCTGGTTAGGTGTGGGCCACACAGAAGACCGGTGTCCTCGATCACAGTTGGGGGGCTGGCCGAAGGGCAGGCTGCGGGGAATGCCCTGGCCAGGATTCCGGACCTCACTAAGGCGCGATGTGGCTGCAGTAAAGCAGTAGACATCGTGGGCTTGGGGTTTCGGGTCCCAGGACAGTGGTCTGTTCTTCCTGGACCCGGAG